CAACAGCAGCAGCAGCGACAGCAGCAACAGCAGCAGCAAGAACAACCGGAGCAGAAGCAGACAGACGCAGCAACAGGTGCACGCCGCACAACGCGCGGAAGCTTGCTTCAGAGATTGCTGCTGCTGCTGCTGTTGCTGCTGCTGCTGCAGCTGCTGGGTTTGCCGGTGCTTTTGCTGCTGCTTTTGCTGCTGCTGCTGCCTCCGGCACCCCCTGCTTGCAGCTCGTAAGGATCACAAGCTCTCTAAAGCCTTGTCTTGACTCTGCTGCTGCTGCTGCTGCTGCGCTGCAGCGAGCGAGACATTGCCTTCTGCTGCTACTCATCCCTTCGTGGCGGAGGCCCTCAAAGAAATTGCTGCTCACAAGCAGCAAGAGAAGCAGCAGCAGCCCAACCCAATCTTCGAGGTAGCTGCTGCTGCTGCTGCTGCTGCTACCGCAGCTGCTGCTCCTGTTGCTGCTGCTCGTGTTGATGCTGCTGCTCCTGTTGCTGCTGCTCCTTTTGCTGGTGCTGCTCGTGTTGCTGCTGCTCCTTTTGCTGGTGCTCCTTTTGCTGCTGTTGCTGCTGACTGCTGCTGTTGCTGCTGCTGCTGTTGCTGCTGCTGCTTCTCTTGCTGCTGCTGCTGCTGCTGCTGCTGCTGCTGCTGATTGCTCCATCGTCTTTCTCTGCCTGCCTCGCTCGCGTGCCCTCGGGCCCGTGCTGAGGGCCCAGGGCCTAGGGCCTAGGGTTTAGGGTTTAGGGTTTAGGGTTTAGGGTTTGGGGTTTAGGGTTTGAGTTTGGAGGCCTCGAAGCAGCTGCGGGTGGAGTTGAAGTCCCTCATAAACTTTTCCCTCAACCAAATCGCCTCCACCCAAACTCAAGTCATCACTGCAAGTTTATTATTTTATTTTATTTTATTTTATTATTTATTTGTTTTTTATTTTTTATTTTATTTTATTTAATTGGTTAATTTGATTTAATTGTTTACTTCGACTTAATTTAATTATCTAATTTGACTTATTTGATTTGGTTTGGTTTGGTTTTGGGTTTTTATAATTTTTAATAATTTGAAATCATTTGTATCTTTTTAAATCATTTTGAATATTTTTAAATCATCTTAAATCAT